AGGAAGCGAGTTTATGGTCCCCGTTTTACAGAGGGTGACACAGAGAGGTCAAGTAACCTGCCTGAGATCACACATCGGGTAATGGAAGAGCCAGGGATTCAAACCCCAGCRTCTGAGTCCGGAGTCTGCTTTTCACCGCTGCCTGGTACTGACCAGAGGACCAAGCCCTGTCTTTGCCACCAGCAAGACTTTGTAGAGCTTTGCTTCCCGTAGTTGACGCTGCGACGGAATCTTTTTCACTTTGCAAATACTAAGTTGAACGTGCTTTTTCTGATGGCGCCTGATGCGTCTCACTAAAAGATCTGGGGGCGTTCCCACGGTCACCCAGCCCCAGTGCCCACTGGCTGAGACTCTCAGGAGTGGGGCCGCTGCTCCCTGGCCACCTTGACCTGCTGCTCACCTTCTAGCTGCTCTCCTCCCCATTGAGCCTCCCCCTGGCTGTCTGCCCCGCCCCCCCGCCCCGTGCCTGCCACTCCTGCTGTCTGCCCAGCAGTGCCACCCCTAAGTCGGGGGTCTGCCCAGCCAGCTTAGCAGCTCCTCAATCAGTGGGGACGGACTGGCGAGGAGGATGGAGGGACGGCAGGCTTGGTTTTGGGCCCAGGTGCCTCCCTCCCTGTGGTCACCGGCTCCCGGCCCCTCAGCCTCAGCCTGTTGGTGGAGCACCCCCTGGGCAGAAGCTGCTCTCCTGCTGGAGAAACAGTGCTGGTGTCTCCCTTGGGGACTTGTGCTCTAGGGGGCCAATGACAAAGCCAGGCACGTGGACAAACACGTAACATGCTCATACAGCGCAGTGTCAGGAAAGGAGACGGCATGGAGCTGAGACKCGGGCTCGAGGGACCAGGCAAGGCCTCGAGGATGTGACATTGAGCTGGCTTTTTTTTAGGGGAGGGGTACCATGTGGCACACACCTGTAATCCCAGCATCTCAGGAGGCTGAGGCAGGAGGATCGWGAGTTCAAAGTCAGCCTCAGCCAYGTAGCGRGGCCTCAAGCTGACTTCTGTGACCCCTCCTCTCTGGCACTGGGAACAGTGAGTGCAGGGGCCACGGGGCAGGGAGAGGTGGGCACATGAGCAGAGAGGAGGCCAGGAGCCAGGGAAGGGGCATGAGTCGGGCTTGGTAAGGCAGGCAGGACTTTTTCTGCTTGGAGAGGATTTTTATTTTTAAAAATTTTTTTCTTAATGCTGGGGATGGAATCCAGGGCACTTTACCTCTGAGCTACATCCCAGCGCTTCTTACTTTTTTACTTTGAGACAGGGTCTCACTAAATTTTGCTGGGGGTCTCACCGTGTTGCTAAGGCTGGCCTCAACCTTGTCATTCTCCAAACTCGCTGGGATTACAGGCATGAGCCACCCRCCTGGCCAGGATCAGGGGGCTCACGTGACCTCAAAGGAGAAGGCATTGGAAGGTTTTCATCTATATGTTTAAAGACTCCCTCTGGCTCTGTTATGGGGAGAAGTGGCTCCGGGGAGACCTGGCAGAGCTGGGGCAAGGCCTGGCCCAAGATGACRGGGCCCAGCCAGCGGAGGCCGGGAAGTAGAGATGAGGGCAGAGGCCGGAGGCTGCTTGGAGGTGACCTCAGCTGCTCTGTGAGATAGGGGACGTGAAGCCAAGGGGTCAGGAGAGTGAGTCACTAGGTTTCGGGCTAGGACCATGCTGTTCTAGACCTGGGCTCCGCACCAGAGTCGCCAAATCCTGCCCTTCTGCCTCGGGACGGGAAGCCAGGCTGCTGGGACAGTGGTCTTGGGGTGCTGAACTCCCGGAGCCTATTCACTGCCATAGTCCCGGGTGCTCAGGGGCTGYCCGCTGGGTGAACGAGGAGCCTGTGCCTGGGGTGGCGAGGCCCTGCCCTGGCCTTGCCTCAGCAACCCCATCTCTACAAGGGACCCCTGGCTCCTCATCCCGCCCACCAGGCTGCTTCCCAGGGGGCCTGGTCACACGGCAGGCCTGTGCCCATCTGTGCCAGGAGTCAGGACCACCCTCTAGCAGGCCCGGGCTCCTGTGCCCCCTTCTCCTGCCTGAAAACCTCAAATTACCTGTGGGGCGGTGCTGCCCTGGGAGGCGTCCATCTTGCCCAGATGCGCAGGGCAGACCCAACCCTCCCTTAATGACACCTTGCCCGCCTCCCGCTGGGGCAGAGGGGAGGGGGCCAGGCAGCCTAAGCTGTGGTTTCTTTTTCCATTGCGTCAGGCCTCAGGGTCCGGCTGGCCTGCCTGCTGCCGGGCTGGCACAGAGGGCCACTCTGACCCCTGCTGCCCCAGCCCTGGCACCATGTGCTCCCCGTTTCGAGCCTCCAGGAGCTTCCTGGCAGAGGGTGAGTTAAGATGAGGGACGCGCCCAGGGTGGAGGAGGCCCCTCCCCACCCATCAGTCATCCTCGGCTCTCCCCAGCTGGCCTGTGAGCTGATCCTGGCCGAGCCAGTGGCTGGCTGTGACCTGGCCCTCCTGACCATGCCCGGAACCGGGCCTGGGGCCAGTGTTGTCACCAAGGCAAGGCGAGAGGTGTGGACAGGGAGGAGGCCGACACCGGGGATGGAAGGAGTGGCCCCAGAGAGTTCGCGGGCCAGTGGCTTCGTGTTTTTCCTCCGGGGTCAGGAAGTGCGTGGAGCTGGGGTGGACACTGGCCCACTCCTGCCCAGCAGCAGGGGCTGGTCCGGAAGTGGAGAGGAGGTGGGCGAGCCAGAGCCGTCCATCGGTGATGGCGGGGGATACGGGGTGTGGACCACGTGCGCCTGGAGGAGCTGGTGACCCTGGGCACTCTGGGGCCTGGGTACTTGTTCAGATTGGGGGGTGTCCTTGGCTTCCTCGGCACTGCAGTCCTGGTCACCACGCCGCCCCTTTGTTTCAGACTTCACTGGCCTGGCCGRTTCCCCGAATGGCCCCCTAATGCCCAGCCATCCCCCACCTTGGTGGGAAGACTGAGCGTTGTTAGCCCTGTAGTCCAGAGACCTGGTTCACACTCTGCCTCTGCTCTTTGCTGGCCACAGGACCTTGGCAGTTTTCTTCCTCTCTCTGGGCCTCAGTTTCCTCATCTGTAACATGGTGGTCATCCTGCCCCACCCCCACCCCCAGGGCAGGTCTGAGCACAAACAGACGCCTTCAGCCACATGGGCAGGACACCCCTGTCTGCCCGCTTGCCTGGCCGAGGATTTGCACCCCGCCCCCAGCTGCACATGGTGGAGTGAGCATTGATGCCCCCCCGCCCCCCAGTGAAACTGATCTCTACACGACAAGAATAAATCCTGCAGGCACACTGCGGTGCCGTGCTGATGCTCGGGCTCCTGTGATTGTCCTGGAGCGGGAGCGGGCAGCTGAGGACTGGCTTCTCACTGTCCACATCCCCTCCCTGCCGGACAAGCCCTGGGGGGAAGAGGGGGCCTGGCCTCCTGCAAACCAGGGCCTGCAGCGGCCCAGCAAGAGACTGGCGCTCGGGAAGTGGGCTGCGGCAAGGGTAGAGGGGGAGGGTGCACCCAGCACGGTGACTGTGACATGGTCCTTCCTGCAGGGATGGCAGCAGCTGCGTCTCCTTAGCTTGACAGCTGGCTTGCCCCACAGGCTCGAGTAGGCTTTTAAATAGACCAATCAGATCATGTCACTGCTCTGCCCCCAAAACTTCCCATCACTCTCGGGCTGAAACCCAGCTCCCCAGAGGACCTGGCTGCTGTTCTGGACCCTTACTGTGTCCCCGCTGGGCGGGATCGGGGCTCTCCAGGAGTCTCAGAGGACTGGCTTCTTCCTGCAGGGTCTTCAGCTCCAGCACAGTTCTTGGGACCTAGTAGTTGCTCAGTAAACCCTCTGGAGGAAACGAATGAGCTTCAATTTCCTCCTCTGGAAAATGGGGCATTGCTACCACTTGCCCCGTGAGACTGAATGGGGGAAGGGAGACTGTAAAAGCGACGTGTTATCTGTGCTCCAAGCACAGGGACAGGACCTTGGGTTCCCACCATCTTCCTCTTCTCCCTCCTCTGGGGAAGTGCAGGGTCATTTATCCACTCAACCATGAGGGGAGTCGAGGCACTGGCAGCTGGCCCCTGTGGGGTGAGTGTCTGAGGGCTGGACTCGTCCACCTGGGTGGTGGGCCTGGGTTAAGCAGGCACCTGCTAGTGAGAGTGAAATCTGACCGCAGGAGTCTCACGGGATGTGCCTTCATGTCACATAGCAGATAGGAAACAGAGACACCAAGGGGGGAGGGGGCTCTACAGGGCTGGGGCGGGGGACTCAGAGCTCACTGCCACTGGTTCCTCCCCTCCTGCTCCCAGGGGACAACTTGTCTTCTGGGACGAGGGACTGCAGAGCACTCTCAGTGTCAGGAGCAGCCTCCACAGCCGAGGGGCACATGGGCCCAGGATTGGGGGAAGCCGGGAGTAGTGAAGGGTGGGTCTTTGTTGACCGTCAAGACCAGCGCGGGCAGGATCTGAGGAATGTGAGCTTGGTCCACGTTCATTCATTCCTGTATTCTATTCGTCCTTCTTTCAATCATCGAACGCACTCGCAATGCTCCCTGTGCCGGAGCCACTGTGCTTGGGCTGGAGATGCAGAATGAGCATGAGAAACAACGAACAAGGTCACCTTTTGAATAAGCTACTGGAAGTGGGCTTCCTGGTGGCCAAAGCAATGAGGGAAATCTGAGCGCCCGTGCGTGGCCCCGTAGCCACAGGCTGCCGGCATGTTCACTGCTCAGGAGAAGCCCAGCTCCCCCTGGCACCATGAGTGTCACCGTGAATGTCGGGCTGCCTGTGTCCCGTGGTGCGTTGCCGATCTGATGTGAGCAGCACTGTGGTCCCTCACAGGTAAACAGTGGCCAAAACAGAAAACTCCAAAGACGAACAAGACCCACCTCCAGGAGGCTCCTTTGTGGTGCATCCTGTGCGTTCTCCTTCCCCCAAGCCTCTGGCCCAGGTTCCCCCCAACACCGCGTCCCCTCTCTCCCACGCCCTTCAGGCCAGGTGACAATGACCCCCTCTGGAGGGGCAGCCTCCTGACCCTCACCCCTCTTCCCCTAGACTGCCAGGAGCTGCTGCTGCCACCACCAACCCCGATGGCCTACATAGCCGGTGGGGGAGCCCCAGGGGCTGGGGCCACCCCCCTGGGCTCCCAGCACTGCGTGTGCAGAGTGGAGCTGTCCGTGAGCGGCCAGAACCTGCTGGACCGCGACGTCACCTCCAAGTCCGACCCCTTCTGCGTCCTCTTTACGGAGAACAACGGCAGGTGGATGGAGGTGAGGCCCTGCGTGTGCRCTGGCGCTGGGCAAGGCAGGACCGGGTGCTGGGCAGGGCTCCCCGCTGGACTTGCAACCCCGGGGCTCAGGCCTGGAGGTGGGAGAATGTGGGTGGCAAAGGGAGGCTACGTGGAAACTGCGCCTCTTCAAACTAATACTGAAATGATTATATCCCTAAATTATCATGATCCATCAATGCACAATTATGATTTTATATTCATTGTTTTATATTGTAACATTTAAATGGTTGTAACTTAGTTAGAAATTTTATAGTTTTACAAAATGCTCCCTTCCTTCCACTTTTAAACAACCCTCCCCCTGTCTCTAAATGAGCACACAGTCAGCGCTCGGGCTTTGGGCCCTAGAGTTGGTTCCAGCCTCAGCAATGCTGTTCCCTGCTGTGTGGCCCCAATAAGGGGCTCTCCCTTTCTGAGCCTGTCTCCTCTGTGGGATGGGGGTTTCGTTTTCTGGAGCCTGCTGCGGGGGAGGGAGGCTGGGAACCGGGCGGGTGTCCTAGGCCAGGACTGGTGAGCTGGAGCCTGGGCCCGGGGCCTGGGGAGGGGAGCCGCCCTGAGAAGGCGGTGGAGACTCCGCAACCCCTCGCTTTCAGGTGTTGAAACTTGCTTTGTTTCCTCTTGCTAAAGGGAACTACATTCCTAGTGTCCAATTTAGAAAATTAATTGAAACCTAAAGACAGTCCCAACGGTTAGGCACCCACCTGTTGGTTTGGTAGCCAGAGAGTTTTGTATGCATGTTTATTTTTCAGACTACATATGGATCTTGCTTGGTTTTTGGTACCTGGGATTGAACCCAGGGGCATTTCACCACTGAGCTACATCTCCAGGCCTTTTTTATTATTTTGAGACAAAGTCCCGTTAAGTTGCTTAAGGTCTCCTAAAGTTGCAGAGGCTGGCCCTGAACTTGCGATCCTCCTGCCTCAGCCTCCTTTTTAAGTAAATATTTCACTGGGTCATGGTGAGCCACTAAATGAAAATACTGTGATTCCAAAGGCCTCCGGCAGATGTTGGCTGCTGCTTGTGATTAAAAAAAAAAAAAATGGTGCTTGGTTTGTTGCCCTCTGTTGTTTGCAGAGGGGAAATAGGACCTGGAGGGTGGGGATTTTTCTGTGTCACCCAGTCTGTTGGGGGTGCCGCAGGAAGTGGGAAATGGGATGTGGGGTCATCCCAGATCTCCAGGGGTGGCCCAGGCCTGTGCCGGTGCTCAGTGCCAGACCCCTGGAGCCCCACGTGCCCCTCAGGGTGCCCCCCACTCAGGCATTCCCAGTGACTCCATTCCCACCCAGTGGGCCACCCTGGCTAAAAATAGCCCAAGGCCAAGACCTCTTGTGTGGCTGCTGCTCAAGCCTTAGAAACAGACTGGGTGGGAGGAAAGTCAACAGAGCCCGGGCCCCAAAATAGACGTCACCCAGACTCCGTGGTTTGGGGCGTCCGCGTTCAGAGGCCGGGAGGCGGGTTCCTGTTTCAGAGTGGCCACCGCCCACAGGGAGGCGCACGGTCCTCACCGGGCTTCTGGGGCAGGATTCCAGGACTCGGAACCAGAAACTCACTCTGAGCCCCGCGTGGTGGTGCCCACCTGTACCCCAGGGACTCCGGGGACCGAGGAGGAGAATCCTAAGGGTGAGGCCAGCCTAGGCCACTTGGGAGACACTGTCTCAAAATGAAAAGAGCCGCCCTGGACTCAGTCTCCACGTGGGGGCAGGAGATGCAAACACCCGTCCCCGGGTGTGGATTCTGTGACCCACCTCTCCCCAGGCCCCCCACTTCCTTCTTTCTGTTTCCTCTCAACTGCCCCGTCTCTTCCAAGGTAAAAAGTTTAAGAACTACAGAGACATAAGTCCCCCAGATGTTGAGGGGGACTTGCCCTCTCTCACTCATGCAGCAGGGTCAGGGCCCAAGCTCTTACCCTGGTACCTGGGAATGGAGCTAGGGCTGAAGGGTTGAGTGTGGGTAGTAGAGTCAGATCCAGGTTTTGAATCTTGGCCTTGGCCCTSCTGGCTGTTCAACCTTGGGTAAGTCACTTCACCTCTCTGTGCTCCTGTGTTCTCATCTATGAGCTGGGGTAGTGACTGCTTCAGCCTGGCCCTGAGTCRGAGCTCGGTGATTGGCAGAGTGCTTTCTGGCATCCCGAGAGGGGCAAGCCAGCCGCCCTGAATCTGACTCCCACCGCCCTGCCCCTCTGCCAGTATGACAGGACGGAAACGGCGGTCAACAACCTCAAYCCTGCGTTCTCCAAGAAGTTTGTCCTCGACTACCACTTTGAGGAGGTGCAGAAGCTCAAGTTTGCCCTGTTTGACCAGGACAGGTCCAGCACGCAGCTGGAGGAGCATGACTTCCTGGGCCAGTTCTCCTGCAGCCTGGGCACGGTGAGCTGGGCAGCCCCCACGATGCCACCAGCTTCCCTGGAGTAGCCCCTCCCTCGGGCRGTCTCTCCCGGCACCTGCTCTCCCTGCCTCCCCAAGTGCAGRTGCAGACCACCGGGGGAGCCAGCAGGCACCAGAGCGGGGGTACAGCCGGTGGGCTTGGTGCCAGGCAGGAGAGCTCCCATCTGAAGGGACAGCCAAACGCAGTGCCACCAACTGCTGCCGCACTGTGGGTCCCACGTGGCCAGAGCATCCCAGGACTAGAGGTGGCCGGGTGTAGCCTTGACTGCCTCATCTGGACACAACCAGGCACAACCAGGTCCCCTGGGAGCAGTCCTGCGCTAGCTGGCGCTGTGTGACCTTGGCCACTTGTTGCCCTCTCTGGACCACATTTCCCATCCATCTTGGGCCTTGGTCAGCTGCTGGAGGCTGGAGAGGCCGTGTGCCCTGGCCAGCCCCCGTCTGCCCCTGGACTTGAGCATCACAAATCTCACTTAAGGATGGGGCGGGACTGGGAGGGTGAAAGAGGGCCTCGTGGGGAGCCAGATGTTCACTAAAACAGCAAGGGCAGGCAGGACCTGAGGTCCCTTCTTGTGTGAGAAGCAGGGTACAGTCAGGGTCTGGCTGGATGTCAGCTTAAGTATAGGGACAGGGAACCAGCGAGGCCAGCAGAGCAGCCCCGGACTTGGCCCTGGTGGACTTAACCACCTCCGGCCCTCAGGAGGCAGCGCCAGGCACTGCAGGGGCTGGGAGAGAGCTGTGGCCAGGGGAGGGACCCTCAGGACAGGGCAGTGACAAAGCTCTCGCCACGCCAGCCCCGGCCTCGGCCATCCTACTGCTGGTGGCCCCATTGGCTGAACCCCCAAAAGCTAAAGGACAGAGAGCCAGGTGACACAGTGCATGGGGCCCAGAGCAGGCAGAGAAGGGTGGGGAGTGGACCTGGGAGGAGCAGCCTGGACTGGTGTGTCCTCAGACCTGCGTGAAGACCCAGCCTTTACCCAGGAAACCAGGGCGGAGGCCCCTGAGGCAGGTGGGGACAAGGGGACAGGAAGKGAACTTCCTGATGTGCTTCACTTTACCCTTCTCTATGATTGAACCCCACGCCTGTTGTTAGCAAGGAAAAYACATACAAAGACGGAGGCCGCCTCCCCTGCAGGCTTGCCCAGAGGAGGCCCTCCCAGGACTTGGGGGAGGACACCCTGCAGTGGTCTCTAGAGCTGGAGCCCTGAGGACCTTCCCTGGGGTGAGCCGGGGGAGTGGAGCCAGACTGCAGGAGGCCACCCCCAAGCCCCCCCCTCTGGCCAGTGTCCTGGCTGCTCTGATTGGCTGGCAGTGGTGGCCCTCAGCCTCCCAGGGTCAGACTCTGCAGGTGAAGGTTTGGCAGCCCTGGCAGGAGGCGGCCAGCTGAATGGCGCCTGTGGAGGGTTTGTCCCTCTGGCCTCCCTGAATGCCTCTCTCTGTCACCAGATCGTCTCCAGCAAGAAGATCACCCGGCCTCTGCTGCTGATGAACGACAAGCCCGCGGGGAAGGGCCTGATCACGGTACCAGCCCCCTCGGCTCTCCACGTCCAGCACCCGCCCCTGCCCCGCTSCTGCCCTCCCCCATCAATGGGCCCTTCTCCGGCAGATAATCACCAGCTTTGTTTGGAGTAAAAAGGCCCAACTTACAACTTAGCAACAGGTTTCTTAGCAACGGGCTCCAGGCGGCCACAAACGATGCGCTGGGGGCCGGCCGCTGTCAGAAGGCCCCCAAAGCGGCTGGGGCGGGGCCTCCTTCTCCTCCCTGGCGGCTCCAGCTCCCTCCCAACCCCCTCCCCACGGGTCCCTGCCACCGCCCTCCCTGGGGACACAGTGGGGGGCTCTGGTTTTCAGCGGTGCTCTGTGCCTCCCCTGCGGTGCCATGCGCAAGGATACCCGGTGCGCAGCCCCTTCTCAGGGATGAGCGCGCAGCCCCAGAGGGCAGGGCAACCCCCGTTAGCGGATGAGGGAAAAGAGACCCAAGAGGAAGTCCCCTGGGCARCCCCACTAGCCAGATTGTCCCTGGTGCTGGTGCAGGAGGGGCGCCGTGCTCCTGGCGCTCCCACCCCGGGTGGCTCCTTCCTTCAAAGCTGAGGGACCCCGCTGCCCCAGCCTTGCAGCCCCACCCGGGCGACTCTTTGCCCCTTCCCTCCAATGCCGGGGCCGGGCAAGCTGAATTGACCGCACACCCTGGGCACCCCACAGACCCCCATCTGCTCTCTTCCTGTCGCCTGGAGTGCCCCGCCCAGCCCCCAGATATCCGTGGTCACCATGGCTCCATCTCAGCGCTTCCACGCCAGCTTCCTGTTCCCAGCTGGTCCAGCCCTGGCTGGGCTGGGGTCCAAGGATCATGGTGGGTGGTTGGGGAAGGCGCGCAGGGTAGATGACCCTCGGAGCTGAGGGAACTCTGGTGGCCCTGCTCCCTCCCCCGGCCTCAGTTTCCCTGATGGCACATGAGGTTGCTGCAGTTGCTGACCCTGGGTGTTCCGGGCTCTCTGGGGCTGCAGGGGGGACATGTCCTGCTGCTCCCTGGCCCAGAACCTCTCCCTCAGCTCAGGTCTAGTCACTGCTTCATCGTCCCTCATGCCCCAGGTCCCCTCCCCTGAGCCACATGAAGCCACTTTTGATTCCTCATTCTGGATGACAGAAACTGTTTTTTGGGGAAGACAAAAAACTTGTCCGAGGTCACCTGGCCCCACCCCTCTCACTCCTCCCCCCCCCCATACCCACTGTGCCTGGCAGGTGGGGGGTGGGAGGAGCAGACCCTCCCCTCACGGCCCTGACCTTGACCTTGCAGATCGCAGCCCAGGAGCTGTCGGACAACCGGGTCATCACGCTGAGCCTGGCGGGCAGGAAGCTGGACAAGAAGGTGAGGCAGGCGGAAGGGGTTTCCACCAGGAGCAGGGTCCCCTCCCTGGCCTGGGGTTGTGTCACCTGGCTCTCTCTGGCCATCACCTTCATTGTCCCCTGGGGACAGGCCTTGCATAGGCCCCCACTGGCCACTCCAGATGAAGACCTCCTCACCTGTGAGACGGGGAGCTTCCCATCACCTGGGGCATTCAGGACACAGYGGGATCCCACTTGTGCAGCACCCCATCTCACAGGGTCCTCAGTGCCCTGTGGGGCCCCTACCTGATGTGCCCCAAGTGCCCCGACTCTGACCCCACCTCTTCCTCTACCCTCCAACCAATCCAGCCTCTTTGCCATCCTGATTATTCAATTGGCAGTGCTGGGGCTCAAACCCGGGGCCTCACATGTGTTAGGTCCTGAGCTACATACTCCTGGCCACTGTTCCCAGATTAAACCAGGCACACTCCTGTCCCAGGACCCAGTGGGGGAGGGAACTAGGGATTGAATCCAGGAGCGCTTAACCACKGAGCCACATTCCAGCCCTTTTTATTTTTTTATTTTGAGACAGAGTCTCACCAAGTTGCTGAGGCTGGTTTGAGCTTGCAATCCTCCTGCCTCAGCCTCCTGAGCTGCTGGGATTAGAGCATGCGCCACGTGCCCTGCTGCCTCAGGACCTTGACTCTTGCTCTTTCCTCTGCCGGGACACTTCCTTGAACACTCACGGCTCCCTCCTTACATCAGACCTGTGCTTCCATGTTACCTCCTCGGGCAGYGGCCTTTGATGGCCCGCCCTTTCCTTCTCTACTTGTCTCCTTGACACTATTGTCTCACAAAGAGTCTCGTCTGTTTTCGTGTTTGTCCCCTTCATCTGTGTCCTCTTCAGAGTGCTGCTTTTCTTCAACTTAATACGTTGATTTTTAAAGGCCAGCACATCCCTCCAGCACCACCAGCCGGAGAGCTCTAGGTTTTCAGATGCTCCTAAAAGAAATGCCACCTCCTGCGGGTGCCTGGCCCTGTGCTGGAGCGGGCRCCCTCCTGCAGCCCCGCCCTGCTGCACATGCTGTGGCTGCAGCCCCTGCAGGCTCGGGGACTCGGGGCTTGGGGACTCAGGGGCTCGGGGCTCAAGCATGGCTGCGGCGACCACCCTGTGATGGCATGTGTTTGCCGGGTGGGCTCCAGCTGCCCAGGTCTCCAGCTGAGCCTTGCAGAGGCTGAGGGGATGGGGACAGGGGGCTGGGGACCCAGCTGGGAGGGCTGTGCCCTTCGCCCACATCCCTCTGCTCTCCCAGGACCTCTTTGGGAAGTCGGACCCGTTCCTGGAATTCTACAAACCCGGGGACGATGGCAAATGGATGCTGGTGCACAGGACTGAGGTGGGGGCCCGGGGCCTGGGGGTCACAGTGGGTCTGCCCTCCAGCCACCTCCAGCCGCTCAGGGTGGGGCTCTGCCATCCCGGCCAGGCAGCTGCCCTGGGAGACCCTCCGTGCTCCCCTCCTTCCCCAGAAGTGCGCCTGGGGATGTCCCCATCCTGACTTGCCGTCCTCCCCGGCCAGCCTGACCAGAGCCGTCCCCCCACAGGTGATCAAGTACACACTGGACCCCGTGTGGAAGCCGTTCACCGTGCCACTGGTGTCCCTGTGTGATGGGGACATGGAGAAGCCCATCCAGGTGAGGGGGCCTCTGGGGGCCCTGCTCCCCCACTGCCCGATGGGGCCTCCTGGTCTAYCCAGGGATCCCGGGAGCCCCTTCCTAAGATGGAAAGAACCCCACCTTGGGGGAGGGAGCACGGGAGCCTGGAGCCCTGAGTCCTTGTCTTCCTGGCCTCTGGGGACCTGGGCAGGATCCCCACCTGCATGAGCCTCTGCTCTAAAACTGCCGCACCCTCCAGGAGGCTGCAGAGCTGGGGTTACAGGGGTGGAAACATCTCAGGAGCGGTGAACTGTAGCACATGTGGTCACCTGGGGAGGACAGTGGTCACCAGTCACCAAAGTCCCCAGTCCTGAGGGGAAGGGGTGTGAGCAGGCGGGTCGGGTGACAGCTGGGCCAGGCAGGGATCCCTAGATGGGGTTCCAGGAGATGCGGGTTCTAGTCCTGCAGCTGCCGCTGCGGTGGTGAGACTTGGGCCACACGCTTCCCTCTCAGGGCCTCTCCTCACCCAGCAGGAGAATGGGCACACGCATCCTGCCTTCCTCCTCAGTGGCACGAAGCTGAGTCAGTGTGGTCACTTAAAGTGGGGGTCCCTGTGCTCAGGCTAGAGAGGGCCCCAGGCCACACCCTCCGTTCCTGGGTGGGCACCCTTTCTCCTTCGCCCAGCAGCCGCGTGGGCTTCCTGTAGGAGGCGGTCCAGGACTTCCTGCAGCCAGCCCGGCAGAGGCTGGGRGAGGGACCACCCACAGAAGACCCGGGTTTTGCTTGGGAGCGGAAAGGGGATAGAGGGCACCGCTTGGGGACAGCTCTAGGGTGACTGTGTGGACCCACCCAGGTCATGTGCTACGACTATGACAATGACGGGGGCCACGACTTCATTGGCGAGTTGCAGACGTCAGTGTCCCAGATGTGCATGGCTCGCGACGGCGTCCCGGTGAGCTGGGTGCATGTGCCWGGACCCCGGGACAGCAGGGGCCAGGGGAGGGGCATCCCGGGCTCACACTGCCCATCGTTTCCAGCTGCRTGACCTTGAGCAAGACCTTGCACAGTCTCCCTGAGCCTCGGTTTCTCTGTCCGTCCCTGGGAGAAAGGGTTTGGGTGGGGGTGAATCGAGATGCCCTGCCCCAGTGAGCACCGAGGAACCGTCCCCTGGTCCCCTGAGGCCAGSCCCTCCTCTCGACCCTCTTGCCACTTCTGGTGCAGCCGTCCGGGCGGCTGCCCCTCTGTTGAGACTGGAGGGCKCCCTGGGGAGGATCCGTCCCCTAGGAGCCCCGCTGACCTCCTGCTCTGGTGCAGCTGGAGCTGGAGTGCATCAACCCCAAGAAGCAGAGGAAGAAGAAGGGCTACAAAAACTCGGGCGTCATTGTCCTGCGTTCCTGCACGGTGAGCGGTGGAGTGGGCGGCAGTGAGCCAGCCAGGGCCACCAGCTCAGGGGGCACAGCCCCAGCAGGCCGTGACCTAAACATCCTGGCTGCGTGACCTAAACCGAGCCTCAGTCTACGGCCTCCCATCAGCCCTTATCCCCTCCTCTACTTCAGAATTCACTGGAATCCATTCATTTTGAAGAGACCCTTGTCATCCACCAAAGCTGAAAGGCCCGTATTTGCCCAAAGGAGGGGAAGGTCATCAAATACAGAGCTTTGAGTTTTGGGGTTTTATTTTTGGTTTGTTTTGGGGTACTGGAGAGTGAACCCAGGGGTGCTCTACCACGGAGTCATGTCCCCAGCCCGTTTTATTTATTTTGAGACAGGGTTTTGCTAAGTTGCTGTGGCTGGCCTCAAACTTTGGGATCCCCCATCTCTGCCTCCCGAGTCACTGGGTGGCAGGGGACACCCTGGGCCAGCCAGACAGTGGCTGAGCAGCTGCAGTAACTTGCAGAGGCAGCTGTGGCCGAGAGCCCTGCTCTCGCTCTTTGTTAACCAGGGAGGCAGCGAGGGCCGGAGGAGTCAAGACTCCAATGCCAATGAGTGGAGGCTCGCCCTGTGGGGCAGTCGGCAGCTGTGGTTGACGCTAGGCCCTGGGATCCTGCCCCCGAGGGCCCCCCACCCACTGAGAGAACCGCTGCTCTGAAGGCCCAGGCATCCAGAGGTCCTGGCTTGGTGGTAGWCAGACCCCGACCCACCTGCTTCGATGGCCTCCTTGTCCCCATCAAAGTTCAGGACATGGAGTCCCAACTCCCCTGAGGCGTTCACGTCTAAATCCCGGGGACCCACTGACTCCCCTGATCCTTCCAGATACACCGAGACTATTCCTTCCTGGACTACATCCTGGGGGGCTGCCAGCTCATGTTCACGGTAAGGCTCCCGACTCCTCTGCGCACCCCGCCCCAGTGGTGGTCTTCCCTGAGGGTTTACTGCAGCAGGAGGGACTTGGATAAACTTCAGGAAGTTTATCCTGGCCCAGCGCCTCCCCTGCTCCCTCCTGCCCTTCCCCCTCTGCAGCCACTCTTCCTGTCTGTCCCCGGGACACCGAGCTCTGTCTTCCAGGGCTCTGCGCTGCCACCTCCCCTGGGAGGTGCCCTCTTCCTCCGTCACACCTCCCTGGCTTATCTTCTCCAGGGCTCTTGCCCTCTCTGAAGTTATCTTGGGCGTTTTTCCCTTGTCCTGTTTGTGCCACCTGCCATCACAGGCACGTGGGATGTGTGTCCCTTCCAGTCGCAGCATGTTTGTCCACACAGTGAAGTGCCACTCTACAGGGCCGGGGTCACGCCCCACGGACTCTGGGCAGAGCAGCTTGGCTTGTGCTCCACAGCCGAGGCCCAGAGCGGGGACCTGCTGGGCACCAGGCTCTGCCCACCTCCTGCTGCCTCCCGCTGTCCCCCACCACTCTAGAGCCTGTGGCTGGAGGGCATGGGGATTGCTTGAAGTTAGGGAACTGGCCTTGCTGGCCCCAAACTCCACCAGCCTCCTCTGCCCTGTCCTCTGCAGAGAGGCCGGGCCTCCTCCCTGCCCTCCTGGGTGGGTGGATTCACTTGACGAATGTCCACTGAGCACCTCCTTCATGCCAGGATCTTGGCTGTGCCACTTTAGGGGTCCCTCGAGGGCTAACACAGCCACCCTGGCCTCAGGGAGCTGAGCCCCCACAGGGAGAGGGTGCAGGTGGCCACGGCCCTTCTCTCCACACAGTGGCTGAGTTCCCAGGGGCCCCCTCCCGGGTCCTGCTCTCGTTCCTTCCTGGCTGGGCCAGGGCTGTTCTTGACCACTGTCCTCTACCCCTCCAGGGGCTGGGCTGGGGTCCCTGGAGGCTGAGAGAGCAGCGAGAGCCCCAGTTCCTGTCCACCCTCAGCCCCAAGTTCCTACTGAGCACCTTCCCTGTGCGGGGCTCCCAGCCCGGGACCAGGGTGCACCCAGCTGACTGTGGAGACAGCTACTGCCCTGCCCGGCAGCCCCAGGCCTGGGCCCCTTGGTTATCTGGAGGGCAAGGCAGAGTGGCCTGGATTGGGAGTCAGGCTGGCCTCTGAGTGGCAGGAGGGGACAGTGAGGAGGGACAGAAGTCTGGGGGGTGAGTTAACCTGTTTCACATCTGGGCAGTGGACTTTATGCTTGGGCAATAGGGAGCCTTGGATGGCATTAGAGCAGAGCAGTGATACCATCACCCAGTTTCTCGGTTTCAGACCACTTTCTAGGGAAACAGGGCTGGGAAAGGAGTGGTTGTCCATGTCCCATCAACCTCTGCTACTCCCTGGGGTGGGAAAGGGAGCTGGAGTCAGCCGTCACACGGGGTAGCCTTCCTTCCAACTCTGCAGGTTGGGATAGACTTCACAGCCTCCAATGGGAATCCCCTGGACCCCTCCTCTTTGCACTATATCAACCCTCTGGGCACCAACGAGTACCTGTCGGCCATCTGGGCAGTGGGGCAGATCATTCAGGACTATGACAGGTGAGCTTGGGGAGGGCCTCTGAAGGCCAGCTGGGCTTCCAGCCAACCTGGGAAACTCAGCTTCCACACCAGGAGGGACCAGAGGTCGGCAGGGCCAGGAATGCCCAGCGCAGAGCATGCACATGGGTACTCCCTTCCTGTGCCCCGGGCAGACATTGCTAACCGATGGCCGATCGCGCGCTCTCACCTGCTGGGAACCTCCTGCACCCAGCACGCAGGGCCAGTCGGGAAACGAGTTGGAATGGACATGAACTTGTCCCCACTGCCACAGCCTCTCGTTCAGGGCTGAGCTGAGGCTCTGTCCAAATGCCCACGCTCAGGGCCACTGGATCCGGCCGTTCCCGGTCCTGGGCCTGACACCTGCTGGCCCCACGGGCTTGTTCCTGCTGGAAGCTCCCGCAGGGCAGCTGGCACATGTGGGCCCTCTTCCCACYGTCATGCTCCATGGGGACCTCTGGGTCCCCAGTAGAAAGTCAGCAAAGGAATGCTGTGTGGCGGGTTTGGCAGGTGTGGCCACCAACAGGCGGGGGCATCATTGTCACCGGTGGTACTGACTCGGAGCTCCAGGTCACAGAGTGGCCAGGAGGCTGGGAGGCCAGGAGGCCAGGAGGCCAGGAGGCTGGCTCCCTGGAAGCAGCAGAGGGAGGAGCAGGGCTCATCGGCTCAGGAATCCCGAGGCGCTTGGCCTCCGAGAGAGAGCACCCGAGACCAGGGGTTCAGGGCCTGAGGGGTGGCTGTGACTCCAGGCCGCATGAAGAGAGGTGCAGCACGCAGAGCCAGGGAGGTGAAGCCCCGCCTGCATGGCCAGGTGGACACCGGCAGTCACCTGACCACTCAGCCTCTCCTCGAGCCGCCTCCCGGGCATTCAGACTTGACAGGGCCCCGCGAGCTCTGGACCTGGGGTTGAGCCCTTTGCCTCCTGCCTGGCTTGTTTCAGTGGTCCCCTCTCTGTCCCTGCTTCTGTCCCAGCCCCCCGCTCCACAAGGCAACTGGAGGACCCTAATATGTCCACTGAATGACCCAGTGAGCCGCGCCCCTGCCCCAGGGAGTTCAGAAGAGGAAGAGTCTAGGCCACCATGCGGGGCAGAAGCTCTGGGAGCACAAGGGACAGGCATGTGGGGGGTCAGGGAAGCCCACAGAGAGGGGACCGTTTAATTGGGCCTTAAAGGGTGAGTAGGAGTTGGCTGGGGGAATAGACGGGGAAAGGTGACTCAGCGGGGGGCACAGCACCCTGACGCTGGCAGGAGAAAGCGCTCTGTGTGTCTGAGGAACCTGTGGCCAGGGCTGGAGGGATGAGGGACAGGTAGGTGACGAAAGGCCCGGAGTGGCCGTCAGTGCTCTGGTTGGGGAGCCTCTTCCCCAGCCATGAGCAGGTCAGGACTGGGGCCGGCATGTTCCGCCCCGACATGGCGTCGGCTCTGTGGCTCCTGGGGTCTTGGTTCGAGGACCTAGAAGCTGCACCTGGCTCCAGGGTTGGACGTGCCGTTGTGGGCGCGTCGGCCACAGGCACAGCCCAGGAAGCCGAGGCCTCCTGCTCATGGTGGCGGCTGGGGGTGGCGGTGCAGCTCTCCACCCCTGGAGAAGGGAGGGCAGGGTGGCACCCTGGGTCGGGGGTCCAGGGAGGGCTGGTGGGCCGAGCTGCTGTCCTCTCCCGTGTCCTCAGTGCTGTCCTCTCCTCTCTCTGATTAGTGACAAGATGTTCCCGGCTCTGGGATTCGGAGCCCAGCTGCCCCCAGACTGGAAGGTGAGTGAAGCTGGCCTGGCGTCCCCTGGCCCAGGTGGGGCCRTGGGCCTCTCTGGGGTCTGCTTGGGAAGCCCTGGGCGGGGACCAGTGGCCCTGCCTCGCAGACATCACCCCAGGCCACGTGCCTTTCTCAGGCCTGACCCTCAGGCTGATAGAGGCCATGACGGGGGCCAGTGCGTGTGGCCTCTGCTTCCTGAAGCCCATGTCCAGTAGGGAAACGGGGTGGCCAGGTTCAGCACATAAACACTGGACACCCAGTTAGGTGCTTTGTGGAACGACAGTGTCTTTCTAGGTGGGAGTAGGCGCTGGACGTTGTACGGGACACACTTAGACTAGAACATTCCCCGTCTATCTGAAATTTCTGCGTCCCCGGGCTCCTGTGTTCCACCTGGGAACCCTAACGACAGGCAGCGTCATGGGTGCTGAGATGGGGCAGCACGGGCTGGGGGTGCCCAGAGGAGGGCCCCAGGCCAGCCTGGGCATGGGAAGGCACCTGAGGAGGCGAGTCCAAGCCAAGAGGAGGCAGGAATGGCAGGGGGTGGGGTGCCGGGCAGGGGGACAGGGGTGCTGGGCAGGGGGACAGGGGTGCTGGGCAGGGGGACAGGGGTGCTGGGCAGGGGGACAGGGGTGCTGGCTGGGAGCACACTCAGGACAGCGAAGGCCGGGAGGGCCCAGAGGTATTGAGGACAGGAGTAGTCATCTCGGCTACTTAGGAGGCTGAGGCAGGAGGGTCACAGGTTCAAGGCCAGCCACTTAGTGAGACYCTGCCTCAAAATATAACGAGGAGGGCAGCTCCGTGGGAGGCGCCTCTGTATTCACTCTAGAACTGGAAGAAAACGAGGCCTTGGAATGTTCTGGACACAGCCCAGCTTAATTCTTACCGAAAGCCGATGGGACTCGCCAGCCTGTCACTCCCCGTCTGGTCACGGAGGAGGCAGTGGCCAGCGATTCTGAGGTGCCTGCAGGCTGGTGAGGGGAGGCTGGAGGAAGCCGCTTCCCTGACCGCAGGGAGGGGCATCCTGGTGGGGACACCTGGTGGGGACACCTGGTGGGGACACCTGGCGGGGCGGGGCACCAAGGCCCAGGAGTGCAGCCGCTGGGCTGGCCAGGGAGCAGCAGGTGCAGGGCTGGGAGGGAGCCAGGAGAGAGTGCAGGAGAACAGAGGGTCCCTGGGCGTGGCCAGGGCAGGTCCTCACTGCCTCACAGGACTCGGGACAAGGGTGTTTGGTGGCCAGAGGGCAAAGCCAATGAGGAGGGCTCTCCAGTGAGACACTGTCCCTTTTTACCGGGGAACACCCAAGGCTCAGAGCCTTAATGTGACTTTGCCCCAGGTCACCTCACCACAGGGGCCTGGGTTCCAAGGGGGCAGATGGATCTTCCAGAACATTCCCGGAACCCACTGTCTCCAGAAGAGCAGCCTCTCGGGAGCAGGCGCAGAGGGCCCATGCATCTGTCTTTCGGTGCCCCCTCTTGTCTGCCCTGGTGTGCCTTATCCTGTTTCCAGAATGAGCTGTCGTTTCCTGTCCTCTGTCCCCAGGACAGTGTTTACCCAGACCCTCAGGGAGTGGCTGGGGGCCAGAGCAGGAGAGGTGGCTTTCCTGGCCCTGCCCAATGTGAGGTGGGACCCTGTGGGACCCACATGTTGCTGCTGGGGGGGGGGGCAGGGCAGGCTGCACACCAGGCCCAGCACGAGCCTGTTGCTAGGACAACAGCCAGCTCTCAGAGAACTCGGCTGAATGAGCTGTTTTCTTGAGCAAAAGCCTTCTTGGAAATGTCACGGGGTGACTCTAGGGAGGCTGGGGCTTAGCCAGGACAGTGTCGGGCAGTAGCAAGAGAGACACTGGAATGGGGCTAGGAAAGGGCAGATACGCCTCCCTCTTGGCTGCCAGGCCTGGCCGCGTTGGCCCCTCTCTCTTTCCTAACTTACCTTGCCTCTGCCATGTGAACCTTCCTTCCTACCTCAGGGCCTTTGCACATGGTCTGAGCTCACCCAGATTCCCTCTGCTGCTTCTTAAGTTGGAGGTTCTGCTCCCTGGGAGCCCTTGCCTGACAGCTCTCCTCTCAGCACCCAGTAGGCTACCTGAGGGGGCAGTGAGGCACTTGGTTCTCTCCGATGGTGTCCCAGCCCTGGCATACAGTAGATGTGCAGTTTTTGCACAGAATGGGTCTGGGACCTKACCCAATGGCCTAAGCAAACACAGGGGTTGCCTCTGGAGTGTGTGAGATCAGCTTTTGATGGTCCACCCAGGCTGGGGGCACTGGGACTGGTGGCAGAGACACCAGACCAGTCCCTGGGAGAACCACCAGTTGGGAGTCCCCACCCTCCTCCAGCCCCGTGACGCTGCCTGGTCCCCAGGGCCACTCTGAGCACTTGTCGGCCAGTCCCAGTTGGCTCACTGGCAGGAGTCCAAGCACTTGGCTTACTGCTGACATTCAGAGAAGCCTTCAAGTGGCACTCTAATTATGTCACCCATGGTGGCAGCGGTGATGAAGGGGCATTCCCAGAGTRCCTCCACCCCACTGCCCTCAGGGGTACCGCTGTCCTACTCGGGGTCAGCGATACTCAGCAGAGTGGGTGCACAGGCAGCCTGGGCCTCAGAAGGGGTTGGGGTCACATGGAAGGTCTCAGCTGTCCCTGTGGAGTGACGGGGTGGCCCCTGCGGGCCAGGCCTGCGGTGGAGGTAGAGGCTGAAGTGAGGGCAGGGTCAGTAGCCTTGACCCTGGAGGAGCTGGGCCGGGCGGGCCTGCTCAGCGCACTCTGCCTTGCAGGTCTCCCACGAGTTCGCCATCAACTTCAACCCCACCAACCCCTTCTGCTCAGGTGAGTGTGAACCCACCCGCTCTGCCGCAGCCATCGCACCCTGGGCAAGGGGAGGCAGCAGGGAGCCAGTCTCCGTCCCTTTCTTCTATCCCTTCCCCATCATGTTGCTAGAGGTGACAGGCCTGGAAGAACTGGTTTGGAGCCAGGTAGTCACGGGTTGAGGCTGCTGCTGTCTTTTCCTGCTGGGGGTCTTGGGGAGGTCACTGCACCTCTCTGGGCTTTTGCCCCCTTGGTTCACTTCCCTGGAYGGTCAGTGGCAGGGAGCTGTGTAGAGCAGAGGGGACGAGGGGTCTGCTGACCTCTGCTCTCCGTCCTCCTCCCTCCTGCCCTGCTGGGAGGCCCCACCTGCTCTCAGGCCCCCAGGACTAAGTGGAGCCGTGGGTGAGTCAGCGAGGGCAGAGTCTGCACTCACCACCCCGGCCCGCCCGCGAGGTGTTCTGAGCTTCCCAGGGACAGTTCTGGAATCCATGAAAGGAAGAGAGGGACTGGAGAGAAGGAGGCGGCCCTCACCATCATGAGATCTGGCCTAGCATTCAGTTCGGGCAGAGCATCTACCCTCYCTGGGTGTCCCCAAAGCCAGTCCAGCTTTGTACCCAGAAGGGCCACCCATCTAGTCACCAACTCTGTCTCTGAAACCACGGGCATCCGTTGGCCAGGAGTGTGGCCCTGTGCTCCTCTGGGGGCTGACTGGCCTGGGGGTGGGTCTCCAGAGGCATCCGTCCAGGTTCACGCTGGCCCACTGCATCCCTGGTCAGAGGCTCTGGGCAAGAGCACAGGGCGGTGGGATATCAGCAGCTGCTTCCAGAGCACCTACTGTGTGCAGGGCTATGCAGGCAACCCTGTCCCTGCTTCCTCGAGCAGCTGCCAAACAGGGCCCAGAATGGACCTMCAGGTGGCTTCACCTTATCTGTCCCATTGAGAGGCCAGGCACAGGCGCGGGCAGCGTAGACAGCTCGCCCAGGCCCCACAGCAGGATTCCACACRGCCTGACTCCACCCTTGCTCTGTACCCCTGGCCCTGACCTCAGGAGCGTCTCAGGGGCCCACACTGGCCACACAGGGACATTGTGGGTGAGAACAGAACGGGCCCCGTGAGCAGCGGCTGCAGGCAGGGCGGCGGCTGACCCGACCCTCTCTGAAGCAGGCGTGGATGGCATCGCCCAGGCGTACTCGGCCTGCCTGCCCCACATCCGCTTCTACGGTCCCACCAATTTCTCCCCCATCGTCAACCACGTGGCCAGGTTTGCAGCCCAGGCGACGCAGCAGCAGACAGCCACGGTAAGTAGGCAGCCCCCGGCCTGTGCATGCCAGGCTGGGGCAGCTGGCGGCCAGGTGCCTGGCGACACTGGGCAGACCAGGCTGGGGTTGGCACTTCCTGGCCCTTGGGACTGGCTCCACCCGCCCTGGGCTCTGAATCCCAGAGAGCAGCTTCCCTTGTGCTGAACAGGAAGCAGAGCTGTGATCTAGGGGCAATGCCTTCCCATTGGAGGGGGCTTGTCCTCCCAGGACAGATGGTGACTAGGAGACGGTGGTCCCAAAGCCCTGAACTGACCCTTGACCACCTCGGTTCAAGTAGAGCCAGGCCTGCTTTTCTCTGAGGGCTGCAGAACCACATGGCCCTTCCTGACAGTGAAGAGGCAGAGCCGTGGCGGCCTGACCGGAGGCTGCCAAGGCCACTGTGTGGCATCTGGAATAGATGGCGCATGGCCATCCTGGGCATCTGCGTATCTGGTCCCCTCCTGGCTCCTCCCCACCCTCCAGGCTCTGGCTCCCTGAGTCCCAAGCCTGGAGACTCCAAGGGACCATTCTGGCAGGACCTGATGCCAGTCCTGGGGTCACCCAGGGTCACTCTGCCCAGCACAGTGCTTGCCTGGATGGACCCCAGGTTTGGAGGGAAGTCGGGGCCCCAGGGAAGGCCAGCAACAACTGCTAAGGGCCCCCTGGGGAGGAGCACTTGACCTTTCCTGTCACCAGAGGTCTCGAGGTCCACGCACTTGGTCCTGACCCCGGGCAGCACGATCCTTTTTGTTGTTCCTGGCTTCCTCCTGACTTCCTTCCCCTTGTGGTGACAAACTCTGTCACCCACCCTCACTGTGTGACCTCGAATAGGTCTCTCAGCCTATCTGGACTGTGAGAGCAGGGCCAGGGCCCCCACCTGCCCCTCCCAGTCAGGCCCAGAAGTGGACACAGCCATCCCTGGCCCTGCCCCAGGTTTTCCCTGCTCACAGGGTGCGCCAAAGGAGGCTTCAGCCTCAGCCTTGGAGGCCCATGGACCTGGCCATCTCCCACCACCTGGCTGTGTGACAGGGTGGCAGCTTAAGCTCKGTGAACTTGAGCGTTCCTTCCTGTACCGTGGGCCCTGCCCTCCAGAGTCATCCTGAGGGTTTGGCTAGACGGCATGTCATTGTTGGGCCCAGAGCTTGCCTGGTGGCCAGATCTTCTGAGGACACCTCTCTGGCTAGCTTTCAGCGATGCCACACACAGTTGAGCCCACAGCTACGGGAAGTAATTTGGGGGTTGCCTGTAATTTGGAGGAACCACGGTGTGGTGTGGCCCTCCCTGTCCCTAGGCACAGGCCCACACGGGCACWCCCACGCCAGGGAAACCGAGTGGGGGCATCTCCAGCAGGCCTGGCGCCCGTTCACTCCTGCTCCTTGCCCAGTGCTTCTGTGCCGCATGGGGTGGCCACGGAGAGCCAGGTCTGCCCGTGAGTGAGGGCCTGGGCTGGGGGAACAGCGGGGACACGGCGCCACCTGGCCTGTGCTAATGCAAGACGGGATCAGGAAGATGGCGCCCAACCCAGACAGAGGGCTCGGGGGAAGTCTTCCTGGAAGCGTGTCAACCAAGCTGAGACTTGGGGAGCGCTGGAGAGCATCGGCCTCCTAGAGGACAGGTGTCCAGGCAGAGCGGGCAGCATGTGCAGAGGCCCGGGCGTGGTATGTGGGTGTGACTGATGGAAGGCGGTGTGGGGCCAGAAGGCGGTGTGGGGCCAGCGGGCTGTGTGAGGTGGGTGAGGCTGTAAAGGAAGGCCAGCTCCCCCAGGGCCTGGGGGCCACCAGGGAGCCTGGATTTTCTCCCGAGGGCAGTGGGGAGCCACCAGAGAGTTTTAAGCAGGTTTGGGCAGGTGGGGAAGGGGCACGGGGACTCCTAGCCTGACTCGGCCTCCCTCCCTCTGCTTTGGCTCCTAAGACCTGGGCCTTGTTGTTCATGTCCTGGTTGGTGGCCTGGGCATCTAGTGTCCCAGTGGAGGAGGGGCCAGGAAGAGCCTGGGAATTCCCTGCACTTCCATCCCAGGGCCCTGGGCTGCCGGCTTCTCAGTGTGAGTGGAGAGCAAGCGCAGGTCTCTGCAGACCCTGCGTGGAACTCCATGGTCAAGTTGGGTTTTGTATAAATCAAATCACGTGTAACTGCATGAGGGGAACAGCTACTTAGAGCCCTGGAGCTCAGAAGATCCCCCAGGAGGAAGCATATACTCATCCCGGAAATGGGCTGGGGGTTYGGGTTTAGGGGTTGGGGCTGGTGCTGACTGGCGGTCTCTGAGACCTAGACAAGGCCCAGGCCCATGAGATGGGGAGTGCGTGCAGGGCCCCCGGAGACGCCCTGGGGTGAGGGGAGGGATGAGTGTGCAGAACCCCCCACCCGGGGCTCATGGCTGGTGGTGGAAGCAGGGTTCCCATCTGCCTGGGACCGAGGGCTTGGCACCCAGGTGGGTCTTGAAGCTGTGCCTGAGGACCGTGCCAGGCAGAGGGAACTAACCTAGGAGGGTATGGAGGTGACTGACCCTGAGGTGGCCMCTTCCCATGCTCCTGCTGGAGTCCCTCCACGGCCACCTCCCACCTCCCCTTAGATATGGTTTGAGGGTGGGTCGTGAGCTCTGGGGTTGTGATGGATCTTTGAGGCTCCAGGACAGCCCTGGCCCTGCCTAGACTGGGTGACAAATCCAGGGCCTGTTGGCTACACTTCACCACCAAAGCCAGCCCGGTCTGCCAGCGCCAGGCCCCGACACACACTGTGGGGACTGGCACTCAGGAGTGAGGGTCACGCCCAGGACCGGGGTTCTGGGCCCTGCTCCCTGCTGCTCTGGCCATTCATGTCCTCCAGCCCCAGGAGGCAGGTGAGAGGAAAGTTTCAGCTGCCAGCCCTACAGTGACAGGCCACCGGTGCCAGCAAGTGGTGGAGCAGGACACCTGGGGAAGCTCCAGCTTTGGAGCCAGCAGCTCTGGATGGGAACCTGGTGACCGGCCTTAACACATCCCCCAGCCCCCCGAGCTGCACTTCTCGGCTCTGAAACAGAACTCACAATGGGAGGATGACAGGGAGGACCTGCCAAGCCGTCACTGTGTTCAGGGCTCCTCACCCATCCCTTGGTCCCCCTGGCMCTGCAGGCCCCGGGCCCTGTGTGCGCCCACCTCCCTGCAGGAAGGCCACAGGCCCAGGGGACGGCCTCCCTCAGCACAGTCCTGACTGCACTGGGTCGGCAGGTGTCTGAGCAGGACGTAGATCGGAAGCGAGTCCCACTCCATGACAGGCCGAGGAGGTCAAGCCTCTTGGTGCCCTCCCTCCTGCCAGCCTGGGTGCCCCAGAAATACTGCCCTGAATTATTTGTGGTGGGATTAAAGTGGACTCAAGGGTCACCTAAAAGAAGGGACCTGGAACGATGGTGAGCTTGGGAGATGGGGTCTAGATGGGTTCACATTGCACCCCCACCAAAGCCAGCGAGGAGGGGCTGGCGCAGCAGCCCTCCACTGCAGGATTCAGGCTGCCATCTCCATGGCAACAGGTATCCCCAGCCAGGGATTGTTCTCTTAAAGACACAGCGCTGGAGCTGGACTACAGCTGCCTGGAGAGGGGGGTGGGAATGGCAGCCCATCGCTCACCCCGCTCCTTCCCTCCACAGTTTGTACTTGGGGGACAGAAAGAGGAACAAAGCATCCTAAAGGGCTGGGCTTATATTTCCCACATAACAGACAGCTTTGCTGGATGAGAAGGTGGCCCAGTGCTGACCTGGGGTCGCTCTGCCGTCCTTAGCTCCATGACCTTGACTAGTATGGGCCCCAGTTTTCTCTGGCAATCAAAAGAGTCAGACTAGAAGGTGGAGTCCCCAAGAAAGAATGTTAGGACCAGAAGAGCTACCTGCTTGTTTATGGGTAGGGAAAACAGTTCCCTTGAGAGGGCAGAGGGTGCTGAGGCCAGAGCTGGGTTGCTGTGGCCAGTGTGGCATCGGGGCCCACCTGTGGGATCACCCCGCGCCTTCCTGAACTTCACCCTCCCCACCGTCCAGCCAGTGTTCTGCCTTGGATCACCCACATTAATTATTCAGTGTTTTTCGTTTGCTGAGATAAATCGTAAGAAACATATCTCACTGCATGTGAAAGATCAGCATCATTGGCCACAAATTGAGAACAGTAAAAATGAAGCGAGCTGTACCGTGGAACGGGGAGTGGGACGGGGACAGCGCCTCTGAGAGCTGAGCCCCTGCCTCTCTGTTGAGCTGTCAGAGGGTGCTGTAGGCGCCAGCACCGAACGGGGTGCCTCCTGGGCACAGTTCACAACCTGGAAAGGCCACTGCCCGTTCTGATTTCAACACCGAGTCTGGATGTGACCCAAAGCCACTTAGTTGTTCACCAGCAGAATCCCACACTCCCGGAGTGCTGGCCCAGATGCCCTCGCCCAGCCCTGCAGAGCCTCTGGGACCTTGCTGAGTAGGGAAGGAAGGGGGTGCAGGTACTGCTGCCCCCGAGGAGCACAGGAGGGGAGGCCCCAAAGTCTGCCAGTCCAAATAAGCCTCCCTGCACCAGCCGCACCCATCAGGAAAGACCCTGAGGGAGCGCCACCGTGTGCCAGGCGTGATCTCTCCTCAAGGGCAACTCCTACCTTCAGATGAGGAAACTTGAGGCCCAGCATAAAGCMGGGTGCCCTCAGTCCCACCATTTAGCAGAGCGGCCTTGACTCCGGCTCTCAGAGACCAGAACAGGGGGGCTCGAGACAGCACGGRGGGGAGAGGAGAGTGGCTGTGACCGTCAGAGGAGCCCATCAGGCCGGGAGGTGGGGAGGTGCTGGGGACGTCCTTGGCTGCCCCTCTGCAGGAAGCCCAGGCGTAGGAAGGTTTGGGGAGCTGGGGGAAGGGCGAGGGCTTTGCTGAGCCCGCCGACCCCTCCCTGCAGCAGTACTTCATCCTCCTCATCATCACGGATGGTGTCATCAGCGACATGGAGGAGACCCGGCACGCCGTGGTGCAGGCGTCCAAGCTGCCCATGTCCATCATCATCGTGGGCGTGGGCAACGCTGACTTTGCCGCCATGGAGTTCCTGGACGGGGACAGCCGCAGGCTGCGCTCCCACACGGGCGAGGAGGCAGCCCGGGACATCGTGCAGTTCGTGCCCTTTCGGGAGTTCCGCCACGTGAGTGGGGGCCCAGGTTTGGAGGGGGGCCCCAGGGCCCTGGTGACCACTGTGCACTGTCAAGGGTGAAAGTCTACACGCTTCCCCACTCAGCTCCCTGGACTTCCTCAGGGCCACGCTGCCAGGCCTCGCCCCAGGCCGTGCTTACAGACAAGGCTGTGACAAGGCCAGCACTGTCCCACCAGTTGGTGGAACACAGAGTGGCACCTGGTCCCGACTGAGCTCCAGGCAGGGTGTCCCAAGGGACCTGCCCTCCATCTGAGCACTGGATGAGAACGGGAGTTATTCTCGTGGGGCCAGAGGATGAGAGGGGCTTCCTGCTGACCGTACCTCAGCCAGCCCCATGGGGAGATGGAAGAGGCCCTTCCATCCTAAGCGGGGCTGGAGCCTGCCTTGTTTCTGGAGGTGGCTCTGGTCCTATCTGCAGTGAGTGAACCCAGGTCAACCCACAAGGAGGCTGGAGTCAGTAGCAGGGCCCCTGGGGAGCCCCAGAGGAAGTCTCTCAATGCCACCCTGCATGGCCTGCCTGGGCCCAGCCCTCACTTGACCAGAGGCTCACTCTGTGGTCCTGGGAAGCCCTCACCTTCCTGAGCCTCGTTGCCTCCACTGAGAGTGTCTCTGGGTGCTGTGGCTCAGATCCTGGCAGCCAGCCTCAGCATGAAGTGACCCGTGGTCATTACTTCTTGGCCCCATGTCCTCTGGACTTGCCTGGGATGGTGTCCCTTCCTCTGGGGCATTAGTTTCCTGAGGATGAATGCTGGACATCTGTCACCAGCTCCTGTGCAGGACAGTGCCTGAGCACTTTCCTGTGCCTGGCCAGGGAGGTGCTCAGGACGAGCTGGCCAGATGGGGAGGCTGTGCACCCCGCTCTCCCCCTACAGACATCCACAGGCATGTCTGTCCTGAAATGTTACTCCAGGCACCTCTAGTGCTCACGGGAAGAGTCAGACTTTTCTTTTTTTTGGTACCAGAGTTTGAACTCGGGGGCATTCAACCACTGAGCCACATCCCCAGCCCTATTTTGTATTGTATTTAGAGACAGGGTATCACCGAGTTGCTGAGTGTCTTGCTATTGCTGAGGCTGGCTTTGAATTTACAGTCCTCCTGTCTCAGCCTCCCAAGCCTCACATCTCTAATTCCAGCAGCTCTGGAGACTGAGACAGGAGGATCGTGAATTCAAAGCCAGCCTCAGTAATAGTGAGGCTCTGAGCAACTCAGTGAGACCCTGTCTCTAAATAAAATACAGAATAGAGCTGGGGATGTGGCTCAGTGGTCTAGTGTCCCCGAGTTCAATCCCCAGTATATAAAAAAAAAATGTTATACTTGACATCAAGGCAGGCACAGCTAATGGTGACATCAGGTGGGCTGGTACGAGGGACACTGGCCTCAGACCACCCTGGCTCTCAGCCCTGTCAGTCCTCCATGGACACCTGTGGTCACAGCTCCTGGGCATGGCGCCCCTCCGGAATTGCTCATTAATCCTATTCTCTCCTCCCTGCCCCGCCCTCCACCCTGCAGGCAGCAAAAGAGACTTTGGCCAAAGCTGTGCTGGCAGAGCTGCCCCAGCAAGTTGTGCAGTATTTCAAGCATAAAAACCTGCCCCCCACCAACTCGGAGCCCGCCTGAGCCCAGGCCCAGCAGCAGCATGCCCATGCCGGCCGCCCCTCCCCAGGAATGTGCACGCTCACCCTGCTTCCTTGTGGGTGGTCTTTTTTTACGGATCCACATTTTTATTTTTTACAACCGGACCTCCGCCCCCAGCTTCCCGGGCCCAGCTGGGCTTCCTCGTGGGAGTCAACAGATGATGCTTCCAGGCCAAACAGGCTTCCTCTCCCCTCCCCCAGCCACCCTTAAGTATTGAATGTACTTTGTATAATTTTAGTGGAATTATTATTGTTATTAAAGAGAATAAAATTTTTACAATCATAACTGGGCTTTTTCCAAGTAACTAGCTGCAGAAAGGAATGTGTCCCTGGTGCGCACTTTGTGTCGTGGCCTGCTGTTTTTACACTGTGACTGTGTTCTGTTTGTTACGCTCAGGGTAATAAAGGAGTTTTAGATGTCCCTGTGTCAATCAGCTCCTTCCTCTGCGGGGACCCAATGGGCTCCCTCAACTGGAAAATGAAATGTGATAGGAAAGTCCCTTTCCCCAGCCAGCAAGGCTGCGGAGTCAGCGTGATGGCCTCTGGGGGACGTGCACCCCATCAACAGTGGTAGCTCCTGAGAAACTGGTCGAGTGGCACTGCGTGGCTGGGAGACCCTGCTGGAGCCCAGCCAGCCCCTCACCAGCCCTACCCCCACTTCCTTGGGGCCCACACACTGTCCAGTGCTCCTGCTGTCTCCCGGGCCTGGTGGTCTGCAGTTCCAGAGCCTCTTTGGTCTCAGCCCCCGGCCCAGCAGAGCTGTTCCTGCTGTTTTTACTGTGTCCCTGTCTCTGAGCGCAGGCATGGCCTCTGGAACCCAGCCCTCCTCCCTTCCACCTCCCCTAGAGCTCCTGGCGGCCCCTTTGACCCAGGCTCACGTGTCTCTTAAGCACTATGTCCCCAGCTCCCTGTAAACTGCTGTTCTGGAACTTTTTCCTTTGGTACTGGGGACTGAACTCAGGGGCACTTTCCCACTGAGCTACAGCCCCAGTTCCTTTTGAGACGGTCTAAGTTCCGGAGGCTGGCCGTGAACTACGAATCCTCCTGCCTCAGCCTCCCAAGTCACTGGCATTAGCTATGCGCACTTTGCCTGGCTGTCAGAATGCTTCCAACAGCCCCTACGAGCATTTCAGAGATGCAAAGGCCTGCAGAGGAGTACATCGGGTCTCCCCGAGGCAGAGCCAAATGCTCGTCCAAGTCTGGCTGACTCTATGCCCAGGCTGTTCCCCTGCATCCAGTGCTGCCCCTTGGCTCTGCCAGCTATGCTCAAGCTGCTAATGAACTTGTCACTGTGCTCCTCTGAAACGGGGACTTCTGCTATCCTCACCTGTTCTCCCAGAACTGGGCAGCGCCAGGCAGGATCCACCTGCAGATGCCCGGCAAGTTTAARAGCCAGCTTATCTAGTGGATGGGAGGGACACCTCCACCCCAACCTTCCAATGGTCCTGCGGATTCTGTAGCCACCAGGAATTTGCTGAAGCATTCTTTATGAACATCTTTGTTTCTTGAGATGACTGTAGGGACACCTGGAGGCCCGATTTATGGACGGTGCTTCAGGAAGGCCCAGCATGTTGGTTCCCAGGCCAGCAGTGGGTGGAATCCCAGAACCAGCACATCTGGCTCATTTTAGTTCATTGGTGTGGCCAGCTGCAAGACGGGGTATTAACTGAGACCGTCACATGACTGCTCACTCCCCTTCTGGCTTAGTAGCAGTGAGGCTAGCGGACATCATATCCAGGTAGGTCCGTACTGCCCCAGCCTGAGAATCAAGGTCCCATGACCAGAGGCTTCTCTGGGAGAGCAACCTGATCCTAGGCCCACATTCCCTGGTTAGCCCTCAATGGACGGTATAGGTGTATTGGGGTGGCCACTTGTCACAGGGACCTCTGCACTCCTCACTTGGGCCTCCCCAGGCAGGTCTGCGGGGCGATGGTAAGGCAGAGGCCCTGCCTGGCACCAGTCCATCCCCAGTGCGCGTGCTCTCACAGACCAGGGCGCGGTGTCTGCTTCCAGGCCTCGTGTGGGGGCAGGCTCAGACCTCTCTGCCGTCTGCCCCATTCTTAGCCTGGGATTGCACTGGTAAGTCAAGCAGCTCCATACTCCTGGTGGCTTCAGCTCAGAGAGGAAAGGTAAGCCTAAACCTTAGACAAGGGTGAATTTTTTCTTTTTAAATCCTTGCCAGCCATGGTGGTACACACCCGTAATCCCAGCAATTTGGAAGGCTGAGGCAGGAGGATCACAAGTTTGAGGCCAGCCTTATAGCAAGACCCCTATAAAATATATATATATATATTAGTTGTCAACGACTTTGTTTATTTATATGTGGTGCCGAGAATCTAACCCAGTGCCTCACACACACTAGGCAAGGACTCTACCACTGAGCCACAACCCCAGCCCAAGACCCCTGTCTTAAAGTAAAAAACAGAAAGACTGGGGATGTAGCTTAGCAGTAAAGTGCCCCTGGTTCAATCCCCAGTGGGGGAAAACAATCCAGGCCTTGGTGCTACTGCTCACTCTTCCACACAGATGCCAGGCTGTTCCAGGTGAACATGGAAACTCAGCCTGAAAGACTCAACCCCTGAAACGCCACTGAAACCACCGAAAGCCAGACTCCCAGGCTCAAAGGAACGTTCTGGCTCTGTCACTGAGCGGTGCTAGTCAGCAAGCCATACAGCCAACCATGGTTTTAGGTTCCTCTAAAAATGCAGGACTGCTTCAGAAGACATTTTTCAGGATGAAACACACTAATGTCCACTAAAATAATGCGTAAATGCCTCAAAATGCCTGGTGCATACTCAGGAGGCCCCGAATATGTACCGAGCAAACGCAACCTGCAGAGGTTAATGATGGACATGACTAATACTCACAGGGACCAGCCTGCATAAAGCTCAGGTGGAGCGCTGTCCCTGCTGGGACCACTTGCTGCCAGTTTTGGTTGTAAGTCTGCCTGTCCCCTCAAACTGTTGCTTTGGCAGGTAAGGGAGTAAGATGCCAGCCCTCGCCAGTGTCATTAAGGCATAAATGTGAGACTGCTTCTGTGTTCAACCTGTGACTACAAAAGTGTTGCCAAGATTCCAGCCTTCCACCAAGCAGAACTTGCATTCCATCCTGGCATGCGTAACAGGGCTGGGCGAGCCAGGGAATCAAGAAAACACTCAAGTCCAAGTGGCTGTGCACTGCCACTGAGCTCTCCTTGTTTTGCTGGAGGGGCCTGTGATGACAGCTGAGCCACATACCCACGACTAGGACACTCGAGCCAAGGAACCGGGTGTGCCTGAGCGATTAACATTTAGCCAAGAGGGAAGTGTACAGCTGAAGCTGGCGGTGGAGCTCCGACAACCAAATCTGACCCTTCATCATGTCACTTTCTAGCTACAAGTGAGGAGCGAAACGCAAGCACAGTGGGTAAACCTGCATAAGTCATGCTGGTGCACTCAGAGTGCCCCGCCCAGAGGCAGGGAGGCCCAGGGTAAAAGCACTAATGAGGGTGCCCACCTTTCACTGAGTGCTGTGAGCCACAAGTCACACCAAGCACCTAATGTGAAGTCTCTTGGGTGGGAAAGGAAGAACTCAGAAGACAGGGAGTGAAGTGACACAGTGGATGGGACTGGCCTAAGTCACCCCGTGCCTGATGCCCAGCCTTGAATGCAACTTATAAAAACTGAAGCCCTGCCCTACTCCGGATTGGGGCAGCTAGTTTTGTCTCTGTTGGATCCTGGAACCCAAATTTGGGTGTTTTGAATTCATGCTCCTTTCCTCCCAAGGTTGGCAGAAAGTGACTGGAAAGGCATGGGTGAGAGAGCTGGATGATCCTCCCCAGATGCAGCCGACAACAGTACTTCGGTTAGTCTTCTCCCTGTGTGGTGTGAGAGTTCTCAGGTGCCTGCCACTCAGGACATCAAGCAGGCTTAAGGAAACCAGGCCAGGGTGGGAGATGGAGCTCAGTTGGTAGAGCACTTGCCTAGTATCCGCAAGGCCCTGGGTTTGATCCCCAGCACCACAAAATTAAAAAAGAATCCCACCCTGAGCTTTGTTCTGACCTCTTGTTACTTAGTTATAAAATCCCAACTATGAAGGTAGGAGTACAGCTGGTGGGGTTTCAGGAGTCCCTCTCAGATATCAAAGCCCCTTCTAAACGGCAGAGTATCTGTCTACACCCCACGCACAGCCTCCCGCACTCCAAACCATCCCCACGTGACTCACAGTACCTAATACGATGTAAGTGCCTATGTTAAAGTCATTCTCTACTGTTTAGGGAATAAGTCTGTACATGTTTAGTACAGACACATTCTTTCTCTGAATTATTTTTGAGCTGTGGTTGGTTGAACTCAGAGGCAGACCCTCCAATACCCACAGCTGACAGTGCTCTAGTCAAGGTCTGAGTGGTGCATCCTTCCGTCCCTGCTCATTCTATGTTCTTTGGGATGCAACCTCAAGCTCTACCCTGTATGCTTCTCAGGGCTGCTTCCCACTGGTCAGCCCAGATCCTGCTTTGCTAGTGGCAGTTTCTACAGAAGGTAAGTTTCAGTTTTGGGGTGCACAATGGACTATAATGAAATGGCACAATCCAGATGCAACAGACCGGGAGCTGGAAGCACAAGATGCAGACAGGAGAGCTCATTCTGACAGGTTTACTGGCTCTGAAGTACAATTTCAATCCCGCGACCCTTTGTTGACTTCTTCCAACATCAACAGAGGCCAAGAGGTATAGTAATGGCCTCTGAAGTCAAACCACATAAAGAGAGTGACTGTGATTCCCCGGCCTGCCTCCTGAAACGATGTGAGGGTGCATCAAGTACATGCTGTGATAACAGCAGCACAGTCGCAGGAACAATGAAGCCGAGGCAGAGGTGCCTACACAGTTTTATCTAAGTGTCTTGTTTGTTAGGATGGAGCTGACGCACCGTTCTCACAGTCAGGAACAATTAGCACCGAGAGGTCCTGAAAAGGAGGCAGAATTTATAAGGCGTCAGTTACGGGCAGAGGGAAGCCGCCATCTGCCKATGGGCACCAGAGCACTGCGGCGCTGGAAGCGGGAAAGTGGGTTGGACGAGATCCAGGGGCCTCTTGCCCACGTTAAAACCGAGTAGCTCCTCTGCCTGCTGGCACCCGTGTGCCAACACGTTCTGTGTCTCACCGTCTCACACCCAGGGAAGCAGCAACAACCAAGGCAGGAGCCCAAGGGAAGGAAGACCGTGCAGGCGGAGGAGCGCAAGGTCCTTCAGGCTTCCCGCCCTCTCTCCCCTTCCCTCCATCCCTCAGCTGAGCCCCTCTCCTGCCAGGAGAGAAAGAGGGGGCACAGTCTCTCTGGTTCTTGGCTGCTTAAAGAGCAGTCAGGCAAAGAATAAAGGAAAAGCACTAACCCAGCACCTTGAGGCTAGAAATAGCTTCAACAGTTAAAAGCCACAACTACAATAAATGCATCAAACAGAGAAGGGCCTCTGTGGAGTGGAGGATGTCACACTAGGCAGGCGTGTCCCAATACTTGGCAATATTAAGACCCCAGGAGCTGCTAGAGATAAGTCATCTCATTATAACCTACGAGCAGTCTGGTTTCTGGCCATGATTAAATAAGGCCTATRCATGTTTGTCTAAGGTTTAGAATCTTAAACTAAAACCTTTATTTCAAAACAAAAACAAAATAATTTGCCAGGCAGAGAAAAGGTCTGAGTAGAAGATGGAGGCTTTCCTTCCCTTCCTCCATGACTCAGATTGGATGGAGCAGAGAGGAAGAGGCAAGAGTAAGGAAGAACCTCAGACGAAGGCCGGGTGTGTAGTGATGTCCCCTGCAGATCCGGTTTATAATCTTTACTTCGTCACACATAACATCAAGGTGGGTTAGTTCCAGGGAGGTGCTCCGCTCCACCCTGGCCAGCTCTCTTCCCCTCCATGCTCCCCAGTGAGGCAGAACCAAACAACACATTCCTCTACACTAAGTTTTAGACAGACGGCACCTGTCCCATAACCGCCCTTGCTTCCTTGTGCTACTGGGAAAGGACAAAGAAAAACTGGGAAAGCAGTAAAACCCTCTGCAAGCCAGGACACTGTCAGTGGGACCTCTGCATGGACTGGCCCTGCCCCAGTACATCAGAAGAAAGGCAGCAGGACAGTGGGTCACCTGCACTGAGGTGGAAGGAGAAACCAAGCAGTTTGGGTCACAAGTGGATTCTGGCACATTTTCAGATTAGGTTAAAAATGTCACGGTGTGCACAGGAAATAGACAAAGGAGTTTTTTGAGGGAGGTAACGCCCGTAGGCAGAACGGACGGACTGACCACTCTGGGGAGGAGCTCCCTGTGGTAGGGGGCAGGAGCTAGGGCGCCTCAAGGAAGGTGTTGGTTCGGAAGATAGAGGAGACAATCTTCCCAGTAGCGTTGATTGTGCCCTCGCTGTCCGAGCTGGACTCAGAGTCGCTGCTCCCAGAGTAGGCACCCAAGCCTGGGAGGATGCCGATGCAGACAGCAGCGGAAGGGCAGTGGATGGAGGGGCCGCTCAAGGAGGAGCTTCCAAGAGACACGCAGGACGGAGCCTCTGCAAAAAAAAAGAGGACGGACAACAAGTTACTCATCACTCTTTTCCAAAATTGAGAGGCTCTTACCATGTGCCAGCCACTGTGCCGAAGCCTTGGCCCAGAAGCCACACAGATCCAACCACCCTGTTCAGGCTCGACTCGTCCTCCTGTCTCACAGATGAGGAAACCATTGGGGAGAGTGCAGCTCCAAGAGATGAAGTGATTCTCCAGTAAAGAAGAGGGCTGGGCCTTGAGCCAAGGCCTTTCTAACCCCAGAACCTGACTACATTCTCCGTTCCCACCAGCTCTGAGACAGAACGAACCCCTTGCAGTGTTGTCTGTTGTGGTTTGATTCCCTGTCCTCGCAGCAAGTGGGACTCATGTCTAATTTCCTTCCTTAATCACTCTTAGTGCAGAAACAGCCACGGGGAGATAAAGGGCTCCACATGCTCAACAGTAGGGGTGATGGCAGATTAACAGACGGTCGACACGCTGGCTAGCAGGGACACATGGTGAAGGCCACCAATCAGCTGCAGAATAACGCTCTTTATTAAGAAAAGCCACTTTTCCCTGATGAGAGAGAGAGAGATGAGYGATCTAGAAATGGGTTTACTGTGCCTTGCTGTCACATTTCACTTTTATAGAAAGAKAAAACTGAAGCCAGTAAGGTAAGAGGTTAGGGCCACGCACAACTCTCACCAAGGATCTGGAGTTCTTTTCTTCCCAGGAAGCCCACAGTTACTCTGCCACTGCAGTGACAGCACGCACGTCTCAATCTAGGAGATGCAGAACTTGATGGCTGAAGGAGTTAGGAACTCTCCTCCATCCCCTCTTCCCTCGCTTGTTTCCAGCCTGCTTTATCACCCTACCAACCTGCCCACGTAGGGATCAGCCCTGTTGACGGAGGAGGAAGTCAAATGATTTGGCAAGCTTATAGACTACTTAGAGTAGAAAATATTAAACTAAGTCTAAATCAAAGAGACTATCCTACAACGATACCAGAGCTCACTGGAGAGGGAGAGCTGAGCTCATCTGTCACTGCCCTGTGCTGACAAGCATAGCTCCCTCTGGGCTTTGCCTTAGACCTTACATCAACACCTCACTTTCATAGACACCTCAAATAGATGCAAAAAAGACACTGGGTTCCAAGGATATGAAACCAGGGGTCACTGAAAAATACCCAAGAAGCCAAAAGAGCTGTCAAACAGCCAGTGTACAAAATTCAGGAGCTCAGTGCATCTGCTGATTTTTATGGGATGCTCCAATAAGGAGAAAAAAGGTGCTAAAGTTATGTAATGTTAAAGCACAGATATGTCAGTAACAGGAAAGCTGACAATGATCATGAAGACGGTTACCAGCAGGCAGAAGCAAATAAGTGCAACAAATATCACAAAAGCTAGTGTCTTCAAGGTATAAGGAGTTCTGATCTGTTAAAAAAAAAATCAACAACTGAATAGAAAAGTGGACTGAAGATATGAACAGTTCACAGAAAAAGAAACAGATGAATTTTAAACCTAGGAAGATAAACAGTATATTAGGCAGGAATGTGCAAGGAAGGGGTAACTTCAATGTTGCTGAGGGAATATAGGAAATATGGMAATGGCCTTCAAATTCAAAAGATGTTCGTAAGAGAACACTCACTGCAACACTGTTCACAGTAGCAAAAGGCTGCGAAAATTGTCCATTAATGGGTGACCGGCTAAGTAATGGACTTCTGGTCAGCAGCTAAGAATAAAGCATGTCAGGCTGGGGTGCAGGTTACTGGAAAAGTGAGGCCGTGGATTCATCTCCAGCAAAAACAACCACAGCAACAAGAATAAAGCATCTCTGCACTGGAATTAAAAAAATCTCCAAGAGACTGTGAAAAATGAAAAGAGCCAACAGGAAGAACAGTGTGTAAAAGTTACAATTTGGAGGGTGGGGGAACAGAGATGCCAGTGCAAATGTATGATAGTATCTGAAAAAATACATTTAAAAAATGGTAGCTATGGCTGCTCAGGGGAAAGAAACCAATGGTTGGGGGAAGAGGGAAGACTGACTTTTCACTCCACACTCTTACCCCTTTTGAGCTTTTTATTATGTGCATATATTACTGATTCAAATAATTTTTTAAAAAGGCAAGTGCAAAATTCAAAAGGTATCTTGAGCCACTTAAATCAGGGAGATAAAGTTCCACTCATCACTGTAACCTCAAGATCATTTATATTAAAGATAAGAAAACTGAAGAAGAATGCATAGTCCAAATGACAAGACGGGCTGCTTGTCTGAATTCTCACTCACTGTAACCCCTGGACGGCAAGGGCTCGCTCTTCACTATTCCTTCCCCAGGACGCACAGCATAGGTCTGGCACAGAATAGGCCAGAACGTCTACTGTGTGAGAATGCAAACATGAAAGAAAAGAAATGTAGAGTTCCACTGCAAGTGATGAACCTGGGGGCAGGTAGGCAGGGGTAGTAAAAATTGGATGCTCTTTTTAAAATTGAGACATGACATCAAGCTATATCATTCTCGTTACTTGAACGTTCATTACCATTATCATATATCACATACAGAATACATACTTTCAGTATTCTGGCAGAAATATTTGGTTGTTTAAAAATATATATCTTATTAGGGTATGTGAGTCAATTACTTAGGAAACTTATTTATGGGAATGCTATTCAGTGAGGCATTTTGTTTTATCAAGTATGAACTTAATTTAAGGGGCTGATAAAAAAAAGGCTCAAGTTCAGAATATCTAGAGAAGACAAGAGCTGGCCTAAGGGAATAATGGAAGCCAGCTGTAGAAATACGACCAAGGAATCTGGACCACTGTGGGATCAGAAGAGTTTAAGTAAAAAGACCCAAACCTCCAATTATCTAGGAGGTTTCAAGAAAGAAAAAAAGACTGCAATGCAACTCTGACAAATTTCATTCCAAAAGCAGCTAGCAGTCCAAAGAGAACAAAATGGTGCCCTCTGATCTCACCCATTTGGTGAAGTTTCCTGCCAACTTCTGTATTTGCTGGACCACATTGTCATACCAAATTATTACAGAAAATTACTAACAGAGAATGTTCTTGGGATGCGGGCAGATGCGTGACTTGGGAGTAGATGGAGCCAACTTTGCATTCACTGGTTCTGCTCAGGCCAAGTCCAGAGTCTTCAGTGGGGAAACTGAATCTCTCTGGGTCCCTGTTATCTTTTGAGGGACAAAGAGGCAAATCCTTCTCTTGCTGAGGACAAGACTCTGAAGCAAGTTTCAGGGGGCATTCTTCTCATGGGGCCTTAACTCCTCCTAGCTAAGGAGGATACTTCTTGCCTAACTTCTGCTGCGAGGATGTGGGGGCTGGAAGAAGGTATTTAGAAAGACAAAAAAAGATGGCTCTGAAAAAAGTACCTAACAGAGTTCAAAGAAACCACAGTTTTCCCTTCCAGTGACTCATTCAAACAGGGAGGGAAGCAACAGAGACAGGGCAAGTGGTCTACTAGCTGAAATGTGTTTAAGATTCCCATTGAGAGAGAGAGAGAGAGAGAGAGAGAGAGAGAGAGAGAGAGAGAGAGAGTGTGTGTGTGTGTGTGTGTGTGTGTGTGTGTATCACAATCAAGTATATGTGTATCCTTGGAATTTTCAGGATTGGCTTCCGAGGATACTGTACCCCTGCCCTGGTAAAAAGTGGTACAGTATCTGCATACAACCTGTGTACATACTTTCATATACTTTAACCATCTCTCCATTACTCATAATACCTAATACAATGTAAATGCTACATACATAGTTGTTAAAATGACTGGTTAGGGAATAATAAGAAAAAAACCTAAACAGCTTCAGTACAGAGTTAATTTTTTCCTTCAACTGTTTTCAATTGAATCCATAGAAGTGGAACCTGTAGATACTAGGGCCAACTACATATATACATTTATCCTATTAAAGCAGTCATGTAAGTTCCTATGTATTAAAAAGATGTCAGTGAACAGGAATTCCTACATTGTAGATGACAGTGTAAACTGGGATAAATATTCTGAGTGACAATTTGACACTATTTCTCCATATACAAACGCATATAATCTCTCTGACCCAATAATTACTTTTAAGTATTTAATCTGAATATATTCACACAAATGAAAAAATCATGCATGACAGGGTTATTATTAAAACACCAGAATAGGAAGAATAGAAACAATATTTATGAATAAAAAATAAGATAAATATTCCCTGGTATAAGAGTATAAAGGAATACTAAAATGTAATGAAGAAGTTCTTTATATGCAGATATGCAAAGATTCCTAAGGTAAACCAATGAATTAAGCAATAAACACAAGAGTAAGTTAAAGTAAAATAAAACTTAAACAATGATCAGAAGCATGAAAACAATATTTGATATATTCTTGCCAAAGAATCAATGTGAATTTATTGAGCTTCTAGGTCTAATTACCACTTTACAGGAAACACAGAATAGAAGACCTCACAGCGGGGCTGAGGCTCAGGGGTAAAGTGCTTGCCTCATACGTATGAGGCACTGGGTTCAATCCTCAGCACCACATAAAAATAAATAAAGATACTGTGTGTTCATCTACAACTAAATAAACATTAAAAAAAAAAAGACATCACAGGGATACAAATAGCAAAATCTAGAGTATGGAAAACCCCACAGGACAAACCCAATTTCTTCACACACACAAAAAAAAATTAAAGAAAAACCACCAAAAAATATTTTTAAAGACCAACCAATTAAATTTGTATTAAAGGACATATTAGCCTATTGTTAAGATGTCATAAGACAGTGATATTTCCAAATTATTCTACAGATTCCAATCTCTCTATAAAAATCTCAGCTCCTTTTATTCCCCCCAGAAACTGACAAGCTGATCCCCAAATTCAGATGGAAATGGAAGAGAATCTAAATAGCCAAAACAATCTTGACACGTCCCAATTTCAAAACCTACTAGAAAGTCAGAGTGACCAAAAATGTGTGGCAATGGCATAAGGACAGCCATAAAGATTAACCAAAAGAAAATTGAACATAGTAATAAACCCATACATTTATGTTCAATTGGTTTTCAACAAGGACACCCTGACAGTGCACTGGAGGAAAGAAGAATCTTTTCAACAAGTGGTGCTGGGACAAATAGATATCACCAGAAAATGAAACTGGATCTCTATATCATTCCAGGTACAAAAATTAACTCAAAGGGTATCAAAGATTGGCCAAGCACAAGGGTGCATGCCTGTGATCCCAATGTCTCAGGAGGCTGAGGCAGAAGGGTTTGAAAGTTTGAGGCCAGCCTCAGCAACTTAAGAGGCCCTGTCTCAAAGTAAAAAGGACTTTGGAAAAGTAACTTTTACATTTAAAAGTAAACTTAGCAGCTCCTTAAAAAGTTAAACACAGAATTACCAAATGACCCAGCAATTCTACTTGTAGGTATATACCCAAGAGATTGAAAAGCTGTTTTACACAAAAAGTTGTACATGAATATTCACAGCATCATGATTCAAATTAGCCAAAAAGTGGAAACAACCCAAATGCTAATCAACTAATGAATGGAAAAAATGTTGTATTATGCAACGGATATCATCAGCCAYTAGCAAAAAGTACTCATTCATGCTACAACATGGACGAACTTCAAAAACAACATATTAACTAAAAAGAAGCCAGACATAAAAGGTCACATATTGCTTGATTCCATTTGTAAGAAATGGTCCCAAATCCACAGAGATGAAAAGTAGACTAGTGGCTGCTGGTGATTAAGAGGAAAAGAGAACAGGGAGTAACTGCTAATGGAATAGGGTTTCTTGAATGTTGAAAATGTTTTGAAATTAGACAGAGGTGATGGCTGTATGGCGTTGTGAACATACTAAAAACCACTGATTGTATTCTTTGAAAGGGTGAATTTTATGATATGTGAATTATATTTCAATATTTTTTAAAGGCTTATGATATTTGGTCCTTGTTTGCATCCTGGTTTTTTAAAAAATAACTACCAAAAAATGTTTAGGTAATTTAGGAAAATGAATAGTAGTAGCAGCAGTAGTAGTAGTAATAATAATAATAATAATAGATATAAGGAAATTATTGTGATATATTCATAGTATTACAATTTATTAAAATGAAACAAAGAACTTTTGAGAAATACATATTGAAGAATATACTCATATTGAAGAATATTGAACTTCTTTTCAGAAATAAATATTGAAGAATACAATTAAAGAATTATAAATGAAAATATATGATGTCTAGGACTTGTCACAAAATATTACACTTGGGAGGTATAAATGAAGACAGAATACACGTTAAAACTTGTTAGAGGACRGAGGAGCTGCTCAGCGGTGGAGCAGTTCCCTAGCATGTGCAAGATCTGGGATTTCACCCCCATACTGCAAAAGTAAGTTTTTAAAAAAATTGTTGAAATTAGGTGATAGGGATCAATACACTATTATATTGAGTCTGTTTCAAATTATCTATAATACAGTATTTTAAAAAATACATATTTATAATTGCTTGTATATAAACAGAATAGTTTTGGATGGATACAGAAGAAAAATATAACACTGTTTCCCTGTGGAAAGGAGAGCTGAACTGAAGGGAATATGGATAGAAGGGAGCCTCTACATTAAAGTTGTTGTTGGTTTTTTTTTTTTTTTTTTGGTTTGTTTGTTACCAAGGATTGAACCTAAGGACACTCAATCACTGAACCACATTCTCAGCACACATACACACCCTTTTTAAAAAAATTTTGAGACAGGGTCTTACTAAGTTACTTAGGGCTTCATCAAGTCGCTGAGACTGGCTTTGAACTTGTGATCCTTCTGCCTCAGCCTCCAAAACAACTGGGATTACAGATGTGCACCACCATGTCCAGCCATTAAAGGTCTTTTTAAAAGTAGGTTCTAGAGCAAAAGAGTACTAACAGCAACAACCTGCGATCACTGGTACTCTGSAGAAACATTTTTAAAAGCATTCATTATTTTTCTGAGAAAGAAATAAACGTAAGCCCTGTTTTATAGATAGATGTTCAGAATCTCAATCCCATAGGGAGTCAGGTGAAACTGAAAAGAGAATCTTGAATTTCTCATCCCAAATCCAGCCCCCAGAAACATTCCCCATCCCTACAACTTTGTGACAACTTAAAACAGAGGCAGAGTCATTGCATAAAAGTAACCACCCAAAGAAAGCATACTTCTGGAGACTGTATTAAGCACTTAGCTTCAATCCAATAACAATCAGAGAGAGCCAGGCATTCTACCTCCTACTGGTAGCAAGCCAGGTGAAATCAAGAAACTTGACATTTGAGGGAGACAGAGAAAAACCTCTTGTGAGCAGAGGTCATCTGACCAGGGCTTTGTAAGCACTCCTTAGAGAGCACAACTGTCATTTATCAGTTCCACTGGTTTCTAACATATTACTTCTGCAGGGCAGCTCACATACTCTTGGGTATAAATCCTGTTTGGTATAAAATAGTTGGCAAATTAAATCTAGTAGGCTTATTTGAAGAGAGTTAAATGTACTCATTTACAGATTCAGTGCATGCCAGCCTTTTATGGTGCTTCATGTTTATTATGAGTAAAAGAAAGAAATGAAGGCTTCCACTCACCTTGATTCTTGTCATCTGGGTCAGGGTCTGGTTTCAGTCTTTTCACACTGTTGCCACTTTCTGCGCTGTAACAAAAACCATGGTGATTTGAGCTATGTCCAATCTTGGGGATAAAAGCTTAGGAAATCAGCAGCTCTAGAAACCATTTATATGGATCTTACGCAGCCTCAAGGAGCTGGGATGATCTGAAATGAAAAGCCTTCATTTCAGGTTCTTAATCTCCTTCCAATTATAAAACTAGTTATAAAAGACAACTTAAACTCCTGATAAAATCCAAGAGGTGAAGTATATAAATTTCTGATTTTTTTGTTATCTTTATCATTCAGTTCAATTAGAACCACAGATGGAATTCAAGAATATGTGGACAGGTTCACAAATGACAAAAATTTACTTAAGTTAGTAAAGATTAAAGAAAATATCTTCAATAACATGCTACAGATTCTGAGAGTCACCCAAAAGACTGTCGCTAAAAGAATGTYTAGAGTGTACTTCTTAACAAAGAAAAAAATTATCCCAAAAGGAAGGCCTTAATCCATCCCAAAAGGAAGGGATGGTGAACAAGAAGGTGGTAAATACAAATATAAGTCTAAACAAGTGTTATTTAAAAACAAACAAACAAACAAACATGTAATTTGTGGCATTAAACACAACCATACTGAAGACCCAGACAATAGTAGCACATAAAGAAGAAAGAATGGGATTGTATCTACAGAGTCTAAGGTCCACATATTTTTTGCAGGGAAGTGAGATAGCTATTTACTTTAGGTTTTGCTAAGTATGCCTGGTAAATTTCAAGCTTATTTCTATTAGGGTACATAAATCCAAACTAGTAGAAAGAAAAATAATGATTTGCAATTTTAAGATTTCTCAGTCATGTTTTTCCAGAACAAGAATATAAGAAAAATTATAAATAAACAGACAATGTTAAGACGGTAGAAATGATATAAAAAATATTGATTAAAATAAATAAACTAAATCTACTTAGAAACTTCAGGAGTATGGCAAGTTCAAGGCCAGGCTTAGCAATTTATTGAGAACTTGTCTAAAAGGCCAAGAWGTGGCTCAGTGGGAGACAGGGCACCACTGCCACTGGGTTAAATCTCCAGCACCAGAAAAATTAAAAAATAAAATAAACAAATAAAAGCAGAGACACAACTAGAAACTTAACAAAAGAAAATCAAACAATACTTAGAAAGACTAAGAGTAAAAAAAGAATGGAGCCAGGTGGGGGGGGGGGGGGGGCCTCTAACCCCCGCTACTTAGGGAGGCTGAAGCAGGAAGACTGTTAAGTTTGAGGCC